TGTGTGTGTGTGTGTGTGTGTGTGTGTGTGTGTGTGTGTGTGTGTGTTTCAAGAAGATCCTGGGCAGGGCTGTCAAGCTCCACTGAGGGCCGCATCAGGGTTGCCTTTGACCTTGGAGGGCCAGGTGGGTGGGCTGGCATTTGTCACGGGCTCAAGGTGCCTATCCCCCCCCCTGCCCCCCCGTCCTTCTTTCTCTCCACGCTTCTTTACAAGAACCATTTTTCTATCTCTTCTACCAGATATTACATTTATTGCTTATTCTTCATGCTCTGCTAAGCTTTTTATTTCTAAGTTTATACCCCATTGTTTAATAGTAAACTGCTTTTCCAGGCAGAAAAGCTATTTAGACTACCATAATTTTATTATTCAATAGCATAAATAACACAATAATGCAAGATCTAACAGCAGAGGTAAATTTCCAGGTTAGTAAATAGAAATGGCTGCCAATTATAGATGGTTGCTTGTAGATTAAATGGATCTACGGTATGTAAAAGCAGGCATTAAACTGTGGTATGAACATAGGACGTGCCTTGTTTTCCGTCCAGGTCAGGCACTTACTAGAGGTAACCCAGCCCAAGCCAGTCCTCCTGCAGCACTCGGCCAGCCGGCTGAGAAAAGGGTGCAGGGGCCCCTCCAGAGTGCTGCTGGGGGCCATGCAGGCAGAAAACAGGCCTCGCGGGGAGCCCCCCGTTTTCGGCTGGCCGAGTGCTGCAGCAGAAGGAGATGGACTGTTTTGGCTGGCAGAGGCACCCCGAGCCAGATCTCAGCACCCCGAAGGCCAAATCTGGCCGATGGGCCTTCAGTTTGACACCCCTGGTAGAGGGACTCCTGCCTGAGCCGGGGGTTGGACTAGAAGACCTCCAAGGTCCCTTCCTGCTCTCTCATTCTGTTACACATTGGGCAGGGCCTTGAGCCAGGCAGTGGTGAAGGCAGCCCCTCTAGCCAGCAACACTCCTCACACGGAGGCCGCGGGCACACGGGGTGGGGGCCGATTCCCTGAGCCGCCTTGGGGCCTCCTTGCCTTCCGCAGGTCTTGTCGGCCGCGACCATTGTGGCCAAGCACACGTCTGCCCTGTGCAATACTTGCCGACTGGCCTCCTCCCGCACCGCCAACCCAGTGGCCAAGCGCCAGTTTGTCCAGTCCGCCAAGGAGGTAGCCAACAGCACAGCCAACCTCGTCAAGACCATCAAGGTAGCCCCCCACCCCGGATCCCCGGGGGATGGGAAAGGGATGTTCCTCAGAGAGCAACGAGAGCCCTGCGCTGGGGGGCCACGGAAGGCCAAGCCCCCCGGGGGAGAAGGCCCAGGGCTGGCAAACTGAGCAGCTACATTGGCGCTGCATGCTTAGGCCCTGTTCTCTGGGTCTGGCAATGGAGACGGGCTCCAAGAGCAGGTTTTAGGTGCTTTGCCACGTCATCCTGCAACGGCCGGGGGTGGGGGTGGGGGGGGTGGCTGCTGTGGGGGGTGCGCTGCAGGCTGTCCCTCCTCCGGCTTGGCTGTGTGGCTGCCTTCCGTGGGCCGGGAGTCCCTGTGGGGATGGAGAAGCGGCTGGTTCTGGGCTCCGGGAGCTTTTCCTTCAGGGCACGGAAAGTAAGGGCCCCACGGGGGTCTCCCCGCAGGCCTTGGATGGCGCTTTCACCCCAGAGAACCGCGAGCGCTGCCGCGAAGCCACAGCCCCGCTGATCGAAGCGGTGGAGAACCTGACCGCCTTCGCCTCCAATCCCGAGTTTGCCACCATCCCCGCCCAGATCAGCCCAGAGGTAGGCAGAGGTTGCCGGGGGAGGGAAGGGGGAAGGGTCTGCTCTGAGCAGCCCTTGGCCGGTCGCCCTGGGGTGACCCCCGTGCCGATTGCCTGTAGGGGCGCAGGGCCATGGAGCCCATCCTCTCCTCCGCCAAGACCATGTTGGAGAGCTCGGCTGGCCTCATCCAGACCGCTCGCTCGCTGGCCGTCAACCCAAGGGACCCTCCCAAGTGGTCGGTGCTGGCGGGCCATTCGCGTACCGTCTCCGACTCCATCAAGAAGCTGATCACCAACATGAGGTGGGCGCCCCCCCCCCCTGCCCGGCGTAGCTCCAGGTCTGGGAGGAGCCCTGGCCTCGGAGGCAGCGGGCAAGCGGATCCCCCTGGCCGTGGGGAGCTGCCGGCAAAGGATCGGAATCCCGATGCGTGGCTGCATCGGCCCAGGGGACGGGGGCGGGGGGGCTGCTGAGAGGCAGGGGCTCCTTCCCCAGCATCCTCATCGGCTCTGAGGAGGATAATTTGGGCCTTCCTTTCTAGCAGTTGCCTGGTTCATTAACTGCCCACGATTACGATGTGGCCGATTCTTGCATTGATCACCTTTGCAGGCCCGCCAAGAAAAAGCAGAAAAATGCTATTAAGCGCAGTCACGCTTTCGCTTAGGGACCACTTTGCTTCATGACTGTGTTGCCAGTCCCAGTTCTGGTCACTAAACAGAGAGGGAGGGAGGGAGGGAGAGAGCTGCCCATTCACACACCTGGGACATCTGGAAATCTCTGGAAAACCGACTCCCTCTGCCCTCCAGATTGTTGGCAGCATGTTGCCATCTCTGTGGCTGGCAGAACCAGGGAGGGGAGAACAGATGAGGCAGCCGTGCGGGGGGGAGGAAGTAGGGAGGTGCCCAAGGGTGCACATCTGGTGCCCATTGCCGCCCGCAGGGACAAGGCCCCTGGCCAGAGGGAGTGCGACGAGGCCATTGAAACGCTGAACAGGTGCGTCCGCGACGTGGACCAGGCCTCCTTGGCAGCCATCAGCCAGCAGCTGGCGCCTCGCGAAGGCATCTCCCAGGAGGTGAGGAGGGGCTCCGCTCGTGCTGGGGGAGCAGCCAGGCGGTGGGCTTCTGGGGAGGGGCTGACCGCTAGTTCTCCAAGGTGCCTGGGGGGCTGCCCGTCTCCGGCAGTGCCGAAGAGGAAGGGGAGGCCGTGGCAGAGACTGCAGGCCCTCCAGCGCCAAGAGGGCCCTGCTCAGCTTCTGGGGGGGAGGAGAATGGTCCTCCCCCAACAGGTGCTCAGGACAGACTCCTTCCGCAGGCCCTGCACAACCAGATGCTCACAGCTGTTCAGGAGATCAGCAACCTCATTGAACCCGTGGCAGGAGCTGCTCGTGCTGAGGCCTCCCAGCTGGGCCACAAGGTGAGGCCTCCGCCGACAGGGCCAAGCGGGCAGGCTGCCCCGGGCGCTCCGTGGCCTGGGGTCTCCTCTGCCCCCCCCCTTGAGGCAGCTGGGGGGGAGGGGCTCCACTCCCACTACGGGGCTTTGAACCTCTGCAGCCCCTCCCACACCCGCTCACCCGCCTGCCCTGTGGGGGTTCGAGGCCCCCGTCTTGCTCTAGGCCAGAAGAGCCCACCTGGCTGCCTGCTCTGTGCCACCCTGGCTCCTTTGGCAGCAGATTCTTGGGGGCGCACGGTCCAAAAGCCGATCACGCACAGCCATTGTAGTCTTCCGGCCATGGTCTGTGGTCCAAACCCAGTCCGTCCTCCTCAGCGGACGAAGCCCCTCCTCTCCCTGCCCCGTGGGAGGCCGGAAACCATCCCGCAGGGAGACGGGTTTGAGGACAGGCGGCTGACACCCCCCCACAGCCTTTCGGGTGCTTCGCTTGCCCTGCAGGCTGACCCCCAACACGTTGGTCTCCTTTGCCTTCCTGGAGGGCCAGCGGAAAGTCACCCAAGGAAAATGCAGCTGGTAGTCTGGTTTTTGAGTGGCAGCTACATAAGGCTGCGTTGAGCAGAACGTGGCCAGTGGCAGGGTTAGGGGGCCATGGCAGAAGAGCAGCTGAGGGGTCTCCATCCCTGGAGGCTTCTCAGAGGGAGAGCCTGGCCGCTTGTTCCGGGAATGCACCGGGGATGCTCCCCCGCCCACAGCCCTAAGACCTTCTGGGGAGGGGCTGGGCAGTTGAAGGGGCAAAGCTGGAGACCCTGAGACTTGGGACTCCAGCCAGGAGGGCTTCAAGCAGTAAAAAAGCTGCTCTGGGCTTCCGTTGACCTCCCTGGGGGAAAGTCGGCTCCAGCAGGCAGGGACCGGCCACAGCCCTGGGGTGGCTTTCCGGGAACTGCGATCTTGGAGAGTGGGACGTGGCCCTCAATGCAGGGGGGTGGGGGGCCCTGGGGATGGCATGGCGTTCATCCTCGGGTGGGCGATGATGAGCCCAGGGCCGAGGCCCAGAAGGCTGCGGGAGGTCTGCCAATCTGGGGGCTGGATGCGACGGGGCCGCTCTGGAGCGCAGTGCGAGCCTCCCAGGCCCCCTGGCTGAGCCTTGGCTGGGGCTGCTGGCGATCCGGCTTGGGCAGCTGGGGATGACACCAGCGGGGCTCCCCTCGCCACCCAGCTCTGGAGGGGGGTGCCTTCGCTTGGTGAGAAAGACGGAAAGCCCCCGGGGCCCTGAAGAAGGCGGGGGAGGCTCAGGGGCGGGCTGGGCTGGAAGGTCCCCCTTGGCCCCACCCCTCTGGTCCTCAGGACTGGCCCCCTCGTTTGGCTTGGGGGGTGGAGCCTCGATTGCCCAACGCCCCTGCTGCTCCACCTCAGGGATACCCCTTCCCCTCCCCTCCTCCTCCAGGTCTCCCAGCTGGCCCAGTACTTTGAGCCCCTGGTCATGGCGGCGGTGGGCGCGGCCTCCAAGATGCTGAATCACCAGCAGCAAATGACCCTTCTGGACCAGACCAAGACACTGGCGGAGTCCGGCCTGCAGATGCTCTACACGGCCAAGGAGGCCGGGGGGAACCCCAAGGTATCCGTGGGGCTGGCCCCGGAGGCGCGTGTGAGTGGGGAGGCTGTGGCCAGGGCCTGACGGGGGCCTCTCTCTGCAGCAGGCGGCCCACACGCAGGAGGCCCTGGAGGAGGCCGCGCAGATGATGAGGGAGGCGGTGGAAGACCTCACGGCCACCCTGAACGAGGCCGCCAGTGCCGCGGGGGTGGTAGGCGGCATGGTGGACTCTATCAGGCAGGCCATCAACCAGGTGAGTAGGGACACCAGGCTCCGGCCTCCCTTTGGCCCTGGGGGCCTCGCCAAACCCCAGGGGCTGTAGGGCAGCCCAGGGGGTTCGGGAGGAGCCAGACGCCCTTGGGAGCATTTGCTGCCCAGTCTCTTGGGGCGCTGAAATCACCCCCGGAAAGGGGCGGGGAGGGGGGCGCAGGCGTACGCTGAGAAGTAGGGCAGCAGCTCCTCTCCCGGGCTCTCTCCTTCCGTTGGGCAGCTGGACGAGGGTCCGATGGGAGAGCCCGAAGGCACCTTTGTGGACTACCAGACCACCATGGTGAAGACGGCCAAGGCCATCGCTGTGACGGTGCAGGAGATGGTGAGCTGATTGGATGACCTCTTGGGGAGGGGTGGGCTTTGGGCAGGAGGGCTGGCCTCCTTCCTGGCCCCCTTTCCTACCTCTTGTCTTACGCTGCCGCCACAGGTGACCAAATCCACCACCAACCCGGATGAACTTGGCACCTTGGCCAACCAGCTCACCACAGACTATGGGCACCTAGCCCTGCAGGCCAAGCCCGCTGCCCTCACGGCCGAGAATGAAGAGGTGAGGGAGGGGCCGAGAGTTGGGGCAGGGGAGCACCCAGAGGCTGTCGCAGAGACACCCTGGCAACGGAGAGCCCGCCAGGGGGGTCGGTTTCCTGGCAGCCAGTGAGGCCCTTCCTGGAATTCAATGCTCCCCTCCAGATTGGCGCCCACATTAAGAACAGAGTGCAGGAACTGGGCCACGGCTGTGCCGCTCTCGTCACCAATGCTGGAGCCCTCCAGTGCAGCCCCAGCGACGCCTACACCAAGAAGGAGTTGATCGAATGCGCCCGCAAGGTTTCGGAGAAGGTGACTGCAGCCGGGCCTGGGCCGGGAGCGAAAGAGTCCCCCTCGTGCCCCCCCCCCCAGCCTAGGTGCGTATGGGGGATCCGACCCCCAGAGCATAGCGAGTGTCATCCTGCCTTTGCTCCCCTGCAGGTTTCACACGTGCTGGCCGCCCTCCAGGCTGGCAACCGGGGCACCCAGGCATGCATCACCGCAGCCAGTGCTGTGTCGGGCATCATCGCTGATCTCGACACCACCATCATGTTTGCCACCGCTGGAACCCTCCACCGGGAGAATGCGGAGACCTTCGCTGACCACAGGTCGTGGCTCCTGTGGGCTGGTGGGCGGGAGCTCCTGAGGCCACCGCCTCGGCCTCCAGCGGGCTCTGATGGGCTCTTTCCTCAGCAGGGAAGGGATCTTGAAGACAGCCAAAGCGCTGGTGGAAGACACCAAAGTGCTGGTGCAGAATGCCACTGCGAGCCAGGAGAAACTGGCCCAGGCTGCGCAGTCCTCGGTGACGACCATCACACGCCTGGCAGAGGTGGTGAAGCTGGGAGCTGCCAGTTTGGGCTCTGAGGACCCTGAGACTCAGGTCAGGACCGCGGCCGCAGGTGGCAGGTAGGCATGCCTGGGTGGGTCCCGGCTGCTCCGCCTCATCTTGCCCTCCTTTCTGTGCCCAGGTGGTCCTGATCAACGCAGTCAAGGACGTCGCTAAAGCCCTGGGAGACCTGATCAGTGCCACCAAAGCCGCCGCTGGCAAGTCTGGGGACGATCCTGCCGTATACCAGCTGAAGAACTGCGCGAAGGTCAGGGCAGAGATGGGTGCCGGCTGAGCGTAGGCCTGGTGGGGCCCTCCTGCTTGTGGGGGGGGGGGCAGGCACCACACGAGGCAGGCAGGAGATGGCCGGCTGGTCCTTGAGCATCTCTCTGGCTGGTTGTCGGCAGGTGATGGTCACCAACGTCACGTCACTCTTGAAGACCGTCAAAGCTGTGGAGGACGAGGCCACAAAGGGGACACGGGCACTGGAGGCCACCATCGAGCACATTCGGCAGGAGCTGGCGGTGAGGGCTGGTCCCCCTGCTCCCCGTAACCCCTGGCTGACCACCCGCTCTCCCGGGCTGACTCCTCCTCCTCCTCCAGGTATTCTGCTCCCAGGTGCCCCCTGCCAAGACCTCTACGCCGGAAGACTTCATTCGCATGACAAAAGGCATCACCATGGCAACAGCCAAGGCGGTGGCAGCTGGCAACTCCTGCCGGCAGGAAGATGTGATAGCCACAGCCAACCTGAGCCGCCGTGCCATTGCTGACATGCTCCGCTCTTGCAAGGTGGGGTCATTTCTCGGGGGGGGGGGGGGGGGGCGGGGGGCGGGGGGGGCCGGGGGGGGAGACGGGGCCGCGCCCCCGCCCGCGTTGGCCAGGGGGGGGGGGGGGGGGGGGGACGCAGGGGCACCCCCTCCAAGGGGGGTCTCGCAGCCCTCCTCTGGGCGCAGAGGGGGCTGGCGACCACCTGTCTGCCTCTCTCCTTCCAGGAAGCTGCGTGCCATCCAGACGTGGGCAGTGAGGTGCGGCACCGAGCGCTGCGCTTTGGCAAGGAGTGTGCGGGTGGCTACCTGGAGCTCCTGGAGCATGTCCTGGAGGTAGGTGCCTGTCCCTCCCCACGCCCGGCCCCCAGTGGCCCGCCCCTCCTCCTCCTCCTCCTCCTCCTCGGCCCAGCCTTTGAGTGTGCCCTGCAGGCCCTGCCTGCCTGGGGTGGGGCTGGGGAAAGGGCTGGGGTGCCCTCGGGTGACCGCCTTCCCCCTGCGTGGTGGGAGGGGGTGGGGCGCTGGCCTTTGTGTCAGGGCGGGGCAATTCCAACCGGCAGAAGCAGCCCCCCCCTGCAGGGAGGTTGGCCTACGCCTAGGTCCGTGTCCCTGGCTGGCCAGGCTGCCCAGGGGCAGGGGAAGCCCCGGGCCTGTGAGTTGTGGAAGCCCCCTGGGACAGGGGCCTCTGGCTGCTTGGACCCCCGGCTGGCTCTCCCAACCGTCCGGCCAAGCCCAGACCTTCCTCCCTTTCCTCTCCAGCCCTTCCCAGCTTCCCTGCTCCCTTCTACCTCCGCTGCCGCCTTCGCCCCTCCCAGGCAGCGGTGGGTCCGGTGGGGCCCGAGGGTGCCCAGCCTGACTCCTCCTTCCTCAGATCCTGCAGAAGCCCAGCCACGACCTGAAGCAGCAGCTGGCCGGCTACTCCAAGCGGGTGGCTGGCTCCGTCACGGAGCTCATCCAGGCGGCCGAAGCCATGAAAGGTAGGCAGGGATGCCGGAGGCTGTCCGCCCCCCCGCCCCTCCTCCTCCCCCTCCTCCTCGCAGGGCAAGGGGCCTCCAGCCAGACTGCCCGCTGTGCTCAGTCGGTTGAGTGGTGGGTCCACCCAGCAGGCTGCACTTGCACAAAGTAATGGGGGGGGGGCCGCGGTGCGAAGGCCGTGGGGCTCCAGCTTAAGGAAAGGAGGGAGCTTCTCAGGGAGGGCAGCCCCCGTGGAAGGGGAGCCGGGGTTTCCCCCCTAATGCCGCTTGTCTCCTGCAGGGACGGAGTGGGTGGATCCTGAGGACCCCACGGTCATTGCCGAAAATGAGCTGTTGGGGGCAGCCGCTGCGATCGAGGCTGCAGCAAAGAAGCTGGAGCAGCTGAAGCCGCGAGCCAAGCCCAAGGTGCTCCCCTTCCCCAGCAGCACACGGGAGTCGCTGCCCGCTATGCTCTGCCCCTTCCATGCCACCCGGCGGGAGGAGGGGCGGGCGCGGCCCCACTTGCTGCACCGGAACTGCCGGCTCCAGGGAGAGCCTGGGCAGCCCCACACGGCAGGCCATGGCTTGCCCCCCTGGGAAGACGGGGCCCTGTGCCAGCCGGGCATCCTCCGCCCCAGGCAGAGCCAGGTTCCAGCACCCCGGGGGAGGGTGGAAGGCTTCCTCCGGCTCAGCCTGCGGCCTGGCTGCCCCTCGCTAACGGCCCCCTCCCTCCCCAGCAAGCAGATGAGAGCCTCAACTTCGAAGAGCAGATCCTGGAGGCAGCCAAGTCCATCGCTGCGGCCACCAGCGCTCTGGTGAAGGCAGCCTCTGCGGCCCAGAGGGAGCTGGTGGCCCAAGGCAAGGTGAGGGGGGGGAGGAGGAGGGGGGGCGCCTGAGCAGGACCCCTCAAGTCTGGCCTGGAGCTGAACACACCCCGTCTTGCCTCTCCCCCCGCCAGGTGGGCGCCATCCCAGCCAACGCCCTGGATGACGGACAGTGGTCTCAAGGCCTCATTTCAGCCGTGAGTGTGGAGGGGGGTGGCGGGAGGCTGTCCATTCGCTCGCTTAGAAGGGCCTCCTTTCGTTGCAGAGGGAGGCCTGTCTACTCTCTCCGGGTGGGCAGGGGAGCCCTTGGCTCGAACCAGGGACCCGCCCAGCTCCTCCCCACCCACCCTGTCAATCAGAGAAGGAGGGGGCTCCCTAGGCTACGGCAGAGGCTCCCAGGGCACTCGGGTCCAGGTGGGCCCTTTGTGGCGGTGCCCGCCGCAGCCTCCTCACCCCTTGATCGCCTCCCTCCTCCTCCTGCCAAGGCCCGGATGGTGGCTGCTGCCACCAACAACCTCTGTGAAGCTGCCAACGCGGCCGTCCAAGGCCATGCCAGCGAAGAGAAGCTCATCTCCTCGGCCAAGCAGGTGGCGGCCTCCACGGCGCAGCTACTGGTGGCGTGTAAGGTGAAGGCAGACCAGGACTCCGAGGCCATGAAGCGCCTGCAGGTGAGGAGGGCAGAGGAGGAGTTGAGAGAGGGTGCCCACCTTCCCCGTGGTCCCAGGGGCCACGTCGACCTCTCTTGGGTCCAATTCAGGCCCTGGTGGACTCCGTCAGGGCCGGGCCTCCGGCCAGCACACTGGCTCCAGAGCCCGGGCAGCCCTGCTGCTGGAGGCCCCAACAGTCCACCCCTCGCCAGCCCGACCGGCTCCTCCAGCAGAGGCAGCAATTGGCTGGAAGGTCCCCCGGAAGGATTGGGGCCCTGTGCACTGCCTCCCCCTCAGGGGTCTGCAGGAACAGGGTGACCGAGCCCACCTCAGTGGGTAACCCCCGCCCCTCCCGAATCCTCCAGGCGGCCGGCAATGCGGTCAAGAGGGCCTCGGACAACCTGGTGAAGGCGGCACAGAAGGCGGCGGCCTTCGAGGACGAGGAGAACGCGACGGTGGTGGTGAAGGAGCGGATGGTCGGGGGGATTGCGCAGGTCAGGGTCTCCCCAGGAGGGGCTGGAGGGGGGCCAGAGGGGCTTCTCCTGTGGTGACCGCTGCCCCTTCCTTCTCCTCAGATCATCGCTGCCCAGGAAGAGATGCTGCGCAAAGAGCGGGAACTGGAGGAGGCGCGCAAGAAGCTGGCCATGATCCGGCAGCAGCAGTATAAGTTCCTGCCCTCTGAGCTGCGGGACGAAGGGCAGAACTGAGCTGCTCCAAGCAAGGGCGGCCCTCCTCCTAGCCGGGCCCCGGGGCCCTTGCCGCCAGGCCCACTGCTTCTCCTGCGCAAGCCCCGAAGCCCCTTTGTGCGCTACTCTGGGCTGCCCCTCCCGGGAGCTTTCCCTGTGCCTTGGCTGCCTGCTCAGCCTGATTGTCTTGGGGGGCTGTGGAGCCCCCTTGGGGCTGTGCAATCGGTGGGGAGGATGGACCATGGGCTCTGCCCACCCCTCCTAGTCTCTGCCTCTGGGCATTCTGCCTTAAGGGTGGGCGCTGCTGGCCTCTGGCCAAAGGCTCTGCCCTCTGATTCCCAAGTGCCTGCCAGACCCCCACAGCCCTCCCACCTCGCTTGGCTGCCCCCACCCCCTGAGCCTCCTTCCCCTGTGGCGGGAGCCCCTCTCCTGCACAAGCCCCCAAGTGCAGCTGTGCTTGACCGCATCCGGGACCATTCGCCCACTGAGGCTTCTCACCTGTTTGTACTTTTGATACACCCCTAAGGCAGGGAACCCAGGCCTGGGAAGCGGGAGGGCGAGGGGTCTGCTTCCCAGCCCCTCGGGCTGTCTGGAAAGGCCTGGTCTGCAATAAACTGGTTCCTCTGCTGTCCCGCCTCTTTCTGCACCCTCCTTCGTGGCCCCAGCAGCTCCCGCCCTTGGGGACGGGGGGAACGGGGCTCCAGTGTGGGAGGAGGAGCGCACGTCCCCCGGCCTCAGCAGCCTTGCTAGCTCTTGGGAGAAGGGCAGCCTCAGGCCACGCCGAGCCATGCTGGCGGGTGTGGGCGTCTTCCCTCTCTCTCCCCCAGAGGAGTGTCCCACACCTGCTGGCCAGGGCTCCCAGGGACAGGCCCACACCTCCGCGGCAGCAGTCCCCAGAAGACTGGTCCTCTTGCTGGCTGGGATGACCCTTTCAGAGGGTCCCAAAGGAGCCCACCCTCGCCCGGCTGCCCTGGATGTCAGGGCTGCGCCAGGCTCCTGCCACCCTTCCCGCTGGGCGCCTGGGCACGGGTCTCTGCGCGCTGCTCCCAGCACCTTCCTGATCTGGCACAGGAAGAGGGGCAGGCCTGGGCTGGGCTGGTGGTGGTGGGGAGAGGCAGGAGGAGGAGCATGGCCAGCGCCCCCCCCAGGAAGGGAGAGGAGGGGGCTTGCCGCACAGCCTGCTGCCTTCCCCTGGGCCTTGTGGGGTCTTTGATCCTCCCTGACTGGAGCCTTGGTGAGCGTTGCCCTCCTGGGTGCTCCCCTTCCCTTGGGAATGGCGCAATCCTACTTGGGGGCGGGGGGGGGCAAAGGCAGAAATCCCGGCCCTGCTTGCGCAATGGCTCCTCAGCCCCCTCTTACTGAGGAATCCCCCCCACCCCGGCCACTGGGGAGGGGGCAAGGCCTGTCCCAGAGGATGGTGGGGGCTGCAGGCTTTGCTCCCGTGGCTCCCCAGGTGGGTTGTGGGGCTTCCTGAGGGGGCAGGAGTTGGGGTTCTGAGGGTGGGCACTGCCCTGTGCCCCAAGATCAGGGATGGCAGCAGGAAAGGGGTCCTGCTGCTCGTGAAGGCTCCGGAGGAGGGTCCCCGACCTGATCCTCCGTCAGGTGGGCACGGTGCCCCTAAATCTGCCACCCGGAAGGAACTCTGCTGCCAGTCCCCCTGCAACCGGGGGGGGGGGGGGGCACCCACCCACATCCACCGGTCTGGCGGGGGGGGCCCCCCAACACCCCCCCCCGGGGGGAACCCCCCCCCCCCCCCCCCGGGCCCGGGGGGGGGGGGGGACGACACACACACACATCCAGGTTTCAGGCGGGGGCTCAGCCTGCACTTTGCCCTTCCCTAACACGCCCCACCCACCCACCTTGGTTACTACAGTAGTTCCAGGATATGGAATCTGCCCACCATCTGCCGAAGAGCCCAGCGCCCTGAGCAGAGACAGGCCGTGCAAGGGCCACTAATCCCCGGCTGCCTGCCCAGAGCCAGAAATAGCCCACTGGGGTGACTTGATGGACAGGGATCAAGGAAGGCCTCCCTGATCCCCACCTGTTCCGCGCCCATCACGCCGGTGGGGTGAGCCAGCAGGCAGCCTGCCCCACAGCCTGGGGCTGCCCAGGGGAGGGAGGTGCTGTGCCTCCCTGCACCTGTTGAGTGAGCCATTCCTGGCCCGGGAATTTACGCAGCAGCTTGGCTGCAAAAGAGGGAGCCAGGCACCCTCTGGGCTCCTTCAGCCAGCAGCCGATCTTTTGCTCCCCACCCTGTCTAGAGTTTAGGCATAAACTCTAAAATGAGGGATCTGGCAGGAGTGTCGCAAGGCAGGGGCTGCTTTATTGTTCACTGCAGTTATCGCCCGTCAGACGCAAAAAGGGAACTTGAGAACGTAACCCCGAGGCGGTTCTGCATGGACCTCAGTGGCAAGTGCCTGGAAACCCTAAAGAAGCCCCCCCCTCCCCCCCGGCTCTCCCGCAGGTGTCCCAGGTGGACAGCTTGGAGGCTGCAGCACAACCTGAGATGGTGCGTGGAAAGCCACTGGCTGCCAGCCTGGGTTGCAATTTCACCTAATGGAACCTCACGTGTATAAATTGGAGGGTGTGGGGGGGGGGGGCATAGAGCAAGTTTTCAAAAGGGTTTCTCCAAACAGGAAGAGTTTTTCAGATGCAATGCAGCAGAAAAAGGAGAATGAACGGGCCCCGTCCGGAAGTGGGATTCAGCAGGTTCTGACCAGTTCTGGAGAAACGGTGGCAGAAATTTTGAGTAGTTGGGAGAACCGGCCAATCCCGCCTCTGATTGGCCCTGCCAACCCCACCTCTTCTCCGCCTCCCATTGAGTCCCAGCTGATCAGCTGGGTCTCCTTTGGTTGCCCTGCACAGGAGAAGGGAACTGGAAAGCAGGTTAGAGGGGTGGGGAGGGAAGGGGGATTTTGCAGTATCGTTCCCCTGCTACGCCCACCAAGCTACGTCCACAGAACAGGTAGTAAAAAAAATTGAATCCCATCACTCTGCCCGCCCCGCCCCCTTCTCTCTCTCTCTCTCTCTCTCTCTCTCTCTCTCTCTCACACACACACACACACACACACACACACACACACACCAGTTCCTGTATTACTGGTAGCAGTTCCAACCTAGCATCCCCTCCTATTGACGTGCAAGTCGGAGTCCTGGCACCTATATGAAATCTGGCTCCCTGGTGTTACCCCTGATCCCCTAATAAAGGAAGTCCTGGAGCCCATGGGAGGGAGAGGGGAGGGCTGGCTTCAGGGGCGAGCAGGACAACCCAGGAGCTGCTGTTCTTGGACCCAGAGAGTTTGCCCCGCACCCCCAGGCCCTACAGGGGTGCCCCATGCGATGCAAATGGCTGCCCAGAGTTTCTTGGGTGCAAAACTCCAGTGGCTGCTGCAGGATTAAGGAAATGCCTCCTCGGTCACCACATACAGCCCTCTGGCTCTCACCAAATCGGCTTCAATAGGGCTGCAGCAAGAGGTGTTTGCACACTTAGTGGCTGGCACATGAACTACAATGTTCTCAGTTGACTGGATGAGCAAGTTATTATCCATGCCTCGATTGCAACTCCTTGACCATCACTACTTCCTAGGTGGGAGTCTTCCTGAAAGGTATCACAAAATTGCAGTTGGTGGGAAAAGCCAGGCTGCTAACTCTGCATCAGCTGCCAGTCTCCTACTGGGCAGAACTGGTGTTGGCCTTCACTTCTGAAGAAGTCAGTCGCGCAGAAGCACCGTTATCTGAGGGACCACTGCTCCCACCAGGAATCTGCCCTTATTTTAACACCTGTCCAGTGATTGGCACTTTGGAAGATCAGTCTGTGTTTATTTCATCTGGTGTTGAAATAGCTGTTCTTCTCAGTTTATAGAGCCAGCCTATCACAACACTCCCCACCCCCCAAATCTGGGGTCCTCATTTTAGTGATCTTGGGGGTGCGGCCAAGTGAGGGAGCCTGAAGGTCCCAATCCACTTCTTAGAGCCCCAGGTATCCTCAAGAAACATTGCACTTTGTTATTAGCAATACTTTCTAGAACCCATTCACTTCACTTTCCAGATTATCTGACTCTAATTCAGTGATCAAACACCTGGATGTGTCATTGATTACGGAATCTTTTTTTACTCTCTCCTCTTTCGTTTATCTAACTTTCTTGATTTCTGTCTCTTGGCACGCTCATATTTATATAAAAGGTTCTCTTGCTTTCTATAAATTCCTTAAATAAATACCTCATCTCTCTCATTGCATTCTTATCCTCGGTTTCTTGGTGTTGCTTGTCTACATATAACAATTTGTTCCTGTTCATCCCTGAAATCCGAGGCTTAGTTGGGCAAATGTTTCTCTGGTTCCTTGACTGATGTGATCTCATCAAACATTCGCATGTCTGGCAGCTTTTTCCACCCATCCTTTTGTTTCAGAAAGGAGTATGAGATTGAGGGAGGGAAATAGCTCTCCCCTATATGGTTCCTCCCCCTTTTCTTTCCTTGTGGGTGGGTGGGTGGGTGCACAGGATGGTGGGATCCTTGGTTGCTCCAGGGCTATGGCAACAACCCTGTCCTTCCTGAGCAGCTGCTGCAAGGCAGAGCAGAGGGCCAGGATTCTAGGCTGAAGGGCTCTGCCGAGAAAAGATCAGAGACAGCAATAGCGCTTAGACTTATATACTACTTCACAATGCTTTACCGCCCTCTCTAAGCGGTTTACAGAGTCAGCCTGTTGCCCCCAACAATCTGGGTCCTCGGTTTACCCAAATCGGTCCTCAGACGGAAGGCTGAGTCAATCTTGAGCCTGGTGAGATTCAAACTGCCAAATTGCAGGCAGCCAGCAGGCAGCAGAAGTGGCCTGCAGTACAGCACTCCAAGCACTGCGCCACCGTGGCTGGGATGACTCCTCTACAGCTCTGTCATTGCGACTTCCCTCCCTCCCGTCTTCGGCCATTTTGCCTGGTTTGTCCTGCTGCCTGTCAGGATGTGTTTGTTTGCCTCATCCTCACTGAAAATCTGTAGGGATTCTCAGCCATCATCCAGGTCACGGTGGTCCCAAACGGGGTTTTTTTTCAGGAAGCAACTGGACTTCCTTGTTTTTTTTTATTTTGAAGACGTTTTGCTTCTCCTCCAAGAAGCTTCCATTCTGTCAGAGCTGAAAGAAAAAGGCAAGGAAGTCCAATTGCCTCCTGAAAGGGCACCTAACTCTAACCCTCTAATTACCTTACATATGAATGTTGTTGGTCTAATAGTGTTGCTTGCATTTGTTACTTTATGAGAGGGAGTTCATGACCTCAGTTGCAATAAGCTTCCACCTGTTCTTCTCAGGTAGGGGAACTCCCAATTCTGGACCACTCTGATGGGCATAACCCAGCTCTGAATTTCCTGGAATCGTTGGGCCCACAAGCCAAAGCTCCTCCATCTCGCAGGAATGCTGATGGGGTAATTTCTCCCATTAGCCTTGTGGAAATGTTAAAAAAGGAACAGGGAATCCCCTGAGGCACTCAAGGAAGACAGGGGATCCCTGCAGAACAGCTGGCCCCCACCCCCCAACCATTCCAACTCTTTGCAGGCAGCCCGGAAGGATCACATGGGATTGAAAGCCACCAAGAAGTCAAGGAGGACCAGAATCCCCACAAACGCAACTGATGT